CACCATACCACATGTAAATAAGCAATTCTGATAGTGAAGGCATGATACGTGGAGATAAGATTTGTGATTAGCCAGGGCGGAAGGAGAGATACCACGATTTTTAGTAGACAATTGGTCAAAGGATCTGCTTCACTTGTCTCTTTGACGAGTTGTAGTGTGGTGCTAAGTCTGGCAATGCTCACTGACGATGCCGATTACGATTCCGGCGAAACGTTTGGGAATGTACCACGTCCACAGTCCAACTCTGGAAATGATCATGCATAGCAGACTCCGGCCTAGGTGTGTTTCTCTAGACCTTCCTACCAATGACCCAGTTGCGAAAACAAGGTCAAACAAATTATATACCTCATTTAGTTGAATACTTATTTATAGAATTGAAGTCTTGTTCTTGCCGTGCGGAATTCACGTAATCCTACTAATGATAGCACCCCTAAATTATTATCCTTCTTTCTAATGGTCTTCTATATAATATTTTCTGGCTATTAGTTGGTATCATTCTTTACTATTCGCCTATAATGTTTGAATTTTTGCCTTACTATATCTGATGAATTTCCTTCATCCAGGGTTTCAAATTTTAGAGACAGAGAAAAATGCAATAGCATTATCCTAGCTCTAAAACCAAAGGATATGATCTTCTTAGTTTTCAATTAGGTAAACACTATTCGTTTGCCCAAAGACCTTTTGAATGAACGATGGTAGATATTTTTAATCTATATATATATTCTAAATAACTATTAAGCATTTATGAATATACATTTCTACCTTTAAAATATTCAAAAATGTCTGTAGTTGACACTTCTAATCTGCCACTTTTTTTTTCTTACCCAGTGCACTCAAATTCCTGGCCGTAGATTCCGTTGGGGTAGTTATAAATGCCAGTGTCGACAGGGCTTTGAATATCCGTTGAACGATCTGGTATGGTTTTTCGATGGTGAGACTATGGAGCGTGAGTTTTTATTGAAGCGAGACGGCAAATCTAATCGGTTTGATATGCTTCGTTGTCGACAAGGCCTTGCTTCCTCAATCTATGCTCCCCCACTGGCCTGGTTCCTCGCTTTGGCGGGGTTAATTCAAACAATCATAAAGCTGGCGTAGTAAAAAGCATTTTGCAATTCTAACTGACCTCTCTGCGTCTTGCGATTTCATCTGAAGACGAGTAAGCTGGAAATACGAAGAGTGCGCATTCTGACAAGCGCAGCTAGAGGCATGTCATCGCTTTATTCCTAATATTTCGAGTTACATTATTTGGTTATTAGATGGAGCTATGAAAAATGATTGCTCGCTAACTAACAGCTGGAACCACAATTTCATCTTACTATATTAAGTTTGGTAAGTGGTATTCCACTTGGTAATAGCTAAGTGTACAATCTAAGCCTATTCTTGCATTTTCTTTACCAATGTTGCTAGGACTAGTAGGAATAATTGTAAATCATCTATCCTAACAGCATTCAAATCATTTATGCTTCGATGAAGCTACTGCAATCTGTCAATTTGTTTGCCTCATTTTCCATGCTCCTGTTCAAGCTTCCAATCTCATTGACTCTGCTTTCGGTTTTTTCCTTGTACTGCTACAAATGGAACTGCTTATATGTAATGTATTGGAGACTTTATGTAATTTGGACATTTCCTATGCTCTCGTTTTTATTAATGAATTTATTTTCATACCTACTTCATCTTAAGGCTGTTATGATTTAGTCTTGATCACAGCAAATGGCGTCGATCATATTGAAATATTGTAAATTATATTTATGAATTCCTTATTACCCAGCTCTGAGGATGCGTAACCACAGACTTCTTTTGTTTGACACCACACAAAAAATCTTACATACTCCGCTCTGGTGGCACATTCAGAAGCAAAAGCGAAGACCTTCTAGGGATTCATGTTGGAAATCCTCTCAAGAACATCGTTTGGAGAAAGCGCTCCAAAGTTTTGTTTTTATATACATAGGGGATAAATTCGAGGGTGAGATACAATGCTGGCAAAGGGGAATTATCTTAATAAATAAAGACCAGATCCAGCAATAGGCTGTAGATTTTTGTTCTCATTTCCGGATAGTTTTCTATTAATCTAAATGTTCATTTAAAATATCTCCTCGGCTTCGCACTACCCTATAGATTACTCCAACCTTGTATAAAGAAACAAAAACGAGTCACCGAATACCTTCTATGGAACAAGACACGTTACAGACGAGGATTCGGAATTGGAGAACAAAGACTATAGTGAACTGTGGTGGTGGGTCACAAGGGTTCAAAAGAAGCAGCGAAAAAAACTCGTTTTAGGGTGTTTCAGGCTTTTAGTAGTCTTGCCTACTCTTGGTGCCATGTTCTCATTGGTTCATTAGGGAGACTCGATGAGGTGGCCAGGTGGGTTTAGAACTGCGGAACATAGGGCGGATGTGTCATGCTCCGTGGGAGGGGCGACTGCTTGCTAGCTGGTTAGAACGAAAGATGTAAAAAAATTGTTGAGTATAACTTACTAAAGCTTCGCCATTTGTCCTATGATCCTAATGACTTAACTTTAATGCATCTGTGAAAGCATAAAATTACTTTTTAAGTGGGCTTTCGAGATTACCAGTAAATAAGGC